CCCTGATGTCAGTCCCGTTTTACAACAGTGGCCCTATGTAATATTTGTCCTTTTGTGACTGAGATATCTCACTCAGCATAATGTCCTCCAGGGTAACCCATTTTGTATAATATTTCATGAGTTCCTTGTTTTTCAATGCTGCATAGTATTCCATCGTGTGAATATACCAGAGCTTCTCTATCCATTCGTTTGTTAATGGGCACTTGGGTTGTTTCCAGCTCTTTGCTATTGTGAACAAAGCCGCAAGAAACATGGGTGTGCATGTATCTCCTTGGGTGTCGGTTATGGTTTCTTTAGGGTAAATTCACAGTAGTGGAATTGCTGGGTCAAATGGTATTTCTATTTGCAACTTTCTGAGAAAGTGCCATACAGCCTTCCACAGTGGTTGCACCATTTTACACTCCCACCAACAGTGAATAAGGGTTCCAGTTTGCCCACAACCTTGCCAGCATTTGATGTTTACTGTTCTGTTAAATTTTGCTATTCTGACTGGGATGAGATGGTATCTCATAGTTGTTTTGCTGTTCCCCTTTTTTACTTCAACACCTCTTCCCTTCGTTTCACCCTCAGTGCTCTAGTGCAGTTTTCAGGGTCCCTTTTGACATTCATTTTGGTTGGAGACATATCTTGGAAAAGGTACAGCCAGAGGCAAAGATGGTGAAACTTCATCTCGTGCAGGCTTTGGGCATTTTGCTAGTAGGGGCTGTTCCTTGGGCCATCATGCTTGGGAAGGTGGAGGGTCAGCAGAAGAGAGGAAGACCCTCAATGAGATGGGTTGATAGGATGACCGCATCAGTGGACTCAAGTGTGTCAGGGCTGTGACGACAGTGTCCACATCTGCTGTCCATAGGTTGCTGCAATTCATGCTTGATTTGACAGCACCTAACAGTAACAAATCTGGAAGCAGCCAGCCTGCCTTATAAAACTTTCTCTCACAGAGCAGCTGGTGGGTTCGAAATGCCAACCTTTTGGTTAACAGCCAGACTTAACCACTGCATCACCAGACCTCTTGGCAACTACGGAGGTTCTCAGTGAATATTTGCAGAATGAATGAGAGAAAGCCGTTTGTTATCTCGTGGTTGCTGCTGTGTGCCATGCAGTCAGAGCCAACTCAGAGCTGACCCTTGAGTGCATTTGCAGAGCGAGGAGATTGCCCATCCGTCTCTGGTGGTGTAACTGGTGGATTTGCACCACGTGTCTTTGAAACTGCAGTGCAGCTGCAGTGTTCAGGAAACATTGGGGGTTTAGTTTACAGAGACTTAGGGTTTCCAGTCATTTATTCTTGCACTTTCCCCCCTCCTCCCCAACTCACGCTTCTCCTTGAAAAGAAAAAACACAAAACTCTTTCATTGTTATGCAGTCCCTCCCCCAAGTTCACATCATTATGTAGCCTTCACTCTGGACTTCTGTCATGACAAGAATACCCCATTCATATGTCCCTTTTAAATAGATCTCTCCTGTCATCTGTTTCAATGCAGTATACATCATTCCTCCCCTCCTTTTCTGTCTTCCCTCAACCCTGATGTCAGTCCCATTTTACAACAGTGACCCTGTGCAATATTTGTCCTTTTGTGACTGACATATTTCCCTCAGCATAATGTCCTCCAGGGTCATCCATATTGTAGAATATTTCGTGAGTTCGTTGATTTTCAGTGCTGCATAGTATTCCATTGTGTGAATATACCAGAGCTTCTCTATCCATTTGTTGGTGGGCACTTGGGTTGTTTCCAACTCTTTGCTGTTGCAAACAAAGCCACAATATACATGGATGTGCGTGAAACCTTGTTATTTTTAAAGTCATAAGTAAGAGTCATCATTTGTCATTCCACAGTGGGGTGGGAATTGGGGAGTGGCTTAGCTGGGGGGGGTTAAGAACTTGAAGATGATCAGATAGAAAGATAATCAAGCTCTGGACTGGGGCGGTAACCACCTAAAGGCTTGACTGCTATGTGATCTGCTCCCAGGGCAGGAAGCTGACTGTGGGCTGTGGGCAGGAAGTCTCAGTTTATCCCCACTTTCTACAGGACCGCTTTTTCTCTTGCCCTTGGAGACTCCTTCCCTGGGTGACTCACTCATGTGACCCTTTACGGGCAGTTCCCAGCTCCTGCCCAATCTGACCACCTCTCACAATGGCTCACTTATTTGGCTGTGGGTGCGAGGCCTCAGTTTCCGCCTCCCCACAGGATTGAACCATTAACTCCAGCTCATGTGACGCAAGCCAGAGTCAGCCTCTCTGCTTCTTCTGTTCACTTCCAGGGCCCCGTGAAGATGGAGTTTCCAGCCTAACGATTCCAAGGGCCAGACTGTGACTCCCCTAAAGGTGTGTATCAGCTTCGCAGGTATTTTCCCTTCATTCCTGGGGGCGAAGAATCAACGTCTGGACCAGCGACTTGATATTTTCTCTGAGGTGCTGAGAAACCGTCAAGGAGGGTGTCAGCCCCGTGAGTGCTTGGAAAAGGTTTCTTAAGGGCCTAGTGAGCCAAGCTGTTCTCTGGATGGTGACAGACTTGACTGGAGTCTCCGTGTTCTCGCAGCTCGGGCACTGAACTTGGTGCCAGGGCAGCCCTGGGGAGCGTTACGTAAGTGACTCAGCAGACGGGACTGCAGGCAGCCAGCAAGCGCGTAGCCTTGTCCGGCCTTGCAGATGTCTCTTCCCTGTCGTCAGAATCAACACAGAGCTCCACACTTTCAGTCATTTCTGACACTTGTCGTTACCCACCACACACACACACTCTACTACTTCTCTGCTGGGCTCGGTACCTCACTGCAGTGCCCACAGAACGCCCAGCCCAGACTCAGTTGTGGAATTTTCTGGAGAAGTCCCAGGCTGCAGCTTGAGGTCAGTTAGATCGTGCTTTCAATCAGGCTCTCAGCTCCTTCGTGGCTGTGCCGGCTGGTGGTCCGCTCGGACTCAGCCTCTCTTTGCTGCTGGGGCAAGTGTCACAGCTCTTTTGCTCCAGGTACAAGAATTGGGATAGTACCACTGAGTCGGAACCAAGCCATAGCTGACCGTCCAGTGGGTTTTCAGAGGCAGTTTAAAAGCACAGGAGGAGATGGCCCAGCTTTCTCCTTTGGAACAGCCGATGGACTTGAACCAGGTGTCTTCAGGATTGCAACACAGTTTCTTCCCACTGGGCCACCAGAACTCTAAGTAGATTAGGATTGTGGATTAGAGTATAACCATTTATACCACCCTGGAACTCCTCTTAAAGAATGTATTCCCAGTGCAAAAAGTTTTTTAACGTTTTATCCCTTTACAAGGAGTTCATGTGGGTTCACTTCCAGAGCACCCAAGTCACATACATTCTTTGGTTTCTCAGTGCATGTGGTTGTTACATTTGCATTACATTGTAGTCTTTTTGAGGAAGCTGCTGGTGGTCTGGAATGTAGGGAGTGGCACAATGATGGGTGGTTCAAATCCACCAGCTGCTCCAAGGAAGAGAGACTGGGCAGTCTCCTGTGAGAGTTACAGCCTCTGAAAACCTGCTAAAAAAAGGTCAGTGATGATGATGATACAGTCTGTTGAAAGAGCTCTGGTGGCCTAATGGTTTAAGCCTTTGGCTACTAACCAGATGGTGGGTGGTTTGAATCCACTAGCCTCTCCGCTGAAGAAAGATGAACCTGTCTGCTCCCGTTGAGATTTACAGCCTCAGAAACTTGCTGGGGCAGCTTCTGCTCTGTCTTGTAGGACTCTCTGTGTCTCTCTGACTCACCGGCTGTGAACTTGGGCTTGTTGTTTTTTTAGTTGTGTTGTTGTTGTTATGTGCCATCGAGTCGCCTGCGACGCATAGCGACCTTATGTACAGCAGTTCTAAAGCCTGCCCTGCCCTGAGCCAGTCTCACTGACTCCGACACACCTACCCCCATTGCCCCAGTTACTGTATCAATCCATCCCGTCTGCGGTCTTCTTCTCCTGCACTGTCCCTCCACCCTTCCGAGCATGATGTCCTTCTCCAAGGACCGGTCCCTCCTGGCCATGTACCCAAAGCGTGTGAGATGGAGCTTCAAAATCCTAGCCTCCAAGGAGAAACTTGGTTTCACACTCTCCAAGACGGACTTTTTTTTCCTTGGTGGTCCATGGTATATTCAAGACTTCTCCAGCCCCACAACTCAAAAGGTATCGATTTCTTCTTCTGTCATCCATAGTCATTATCCAGCCTGAATCGGGCGTACCTTAGTCCCTAGACTGACATTGTTGCTTCTCAGTACCCTGGAGAAGTTTCTGACAGCCGATTTTCCCTGCAGAAGGTCAAGGACTGTAGTGTTCAATATGGATGGAAGCTCAACATCAAGAAGACAAAGATTCTCGCCACTGAGCCAGTTGGCAGTGTGGCAGTGCCGTGATAGACAAGAAGAGATTGAAGTTGTTAACAGTTTCAGTGTGCTCGGCTCCACAGTCAGCACTCTTGGCTCCAGCAGTCAGGAAGTCAAAAGATGGATTGCGCTGGGAAAATCTACTGCCGGGGACCTCTCTAGAGTACAGAGTTTTTAGTAGTCAGTGTGAAGTGTGTAGATGACCGCTAGAGAATTAGTGTGCTGGTTAAATGTGGGACTGATGACCAAAAAGTTTGGCTGTTGCAATCGGCCAGCTACTCAGCTGGAGAAAAATGAAGTTCTCAGTGCGACTTAGAAACTTTGCAGCTTGACAGAGGGACTTGATGACGCGCGCGCGCGTGCGTGTGTGCGCGTGTGTGTGTGTGTGTGTGTGTGTGTGTGTGTTGATATTAAACACACAGTAGCATGATAAAAATCCTTTGGGATGTGAGCCCATGCTTCTGGGGAAAGGGTAACAGACCTGCTCCTTCCTTGATATCTCCTCAGTTTGAGAGAAATACCCCCAAAAGTGCGTGCAGTATTTGGAGAGTGTTTGAAAGCAAACCCGGGGGGTACATGGCCTGGCTGCCGTGAGCACCTGGCTGATGGTTGCTCATTGGTGGCGATTCGATTCCAGCTGTCCTTTCAGCTTCCTGTCCCCTCCCCACCCCTCCTGTTTTCTTAGCATGACCAGCTTCTGTCCAGAGTGTGGCAAAAATACCGAATCGACGTTCAAGTTCTGTCCCTACTGTGGAAAATGTTTGCCCACAGGGGAGCCTGCAGGATCCCCCACCTTCGTCAGACCGCTGGTGTCCTTCCGAGGTGAGAACCAGGGTCCGGCTGTCTAGATGGACCGTGCTGACGGCGGGCACTCGAAGGGATAGACAGGAACCTGGGGGCGTGGGTTCACGTGGGTGGGGGCGACAAGTCAGAGGAGGAGGGTGAGGCTGGGGGCGCAGCTTGGCGGAGGTGATCGGTGACAGAAACATACATGCAGAAGCATGCCGAGTGGGCCTCCAAATTCTCAGCAACCATGCAGAAGAAAATTAGGGTTTTGTTGTGTTTTTTTAAATTAATTTTAATGAAAGTTTACTGAGGCTTAGGGTTTCCAGTCATTCATTGTTGCACTTTTCTCCCTATCCACCCCTCCTCCCCAATTCACTCTTCTCCTTGAAAAGAAAAAGAAAAACTCTTTCATTGTTATGCAATCCCTCCCCCCAAGTCTACTCCACTGTTCGGCCTTCACTCTGGACTTCTGTAATGACAAGAATACCCATTCATAGATCCCTTTTTTTTTAAATTTTATTTTATTATTCTTGTGTGCGTGTACCGTCAAATCAGATCTGACTGGTACAGGAGGAGATTGTCCCTCCTTCCCCGGCAGAGCATCTGGTGGATTTGAACCATGCACCTCTGGGATTGTAGTTGCAACTCCTTACCACTAGGCCACCAGAGCTCCCCTCATAGATCCCTTTTAAACAGTTCTCTCCCTCATCTGTTTCAATGCAACATACATCATTCCTCCCCTCCTTCTCTGTCTTCCCTCAACCCCGATGTCAGTCCCATTCTACAACAGTGGCCCTATGCAATATTTGTCCTTTTGTGACTGAGATATTTCACTTAGCACAATGTCCTCCAGGGTCACCTGGAGGAATATTTTGCATAATATTTCATGAGATTCTTGTTTTTCAATGCTGCGTAGTAGTCCATTGTGTAGATTTAGCAGAGCTTCTGTATCCATTTGTTTGTTGACGGACACTTGGGTTGTTTCCAGCTCTTTGCTATTGCAAACAAAGCCGCAGTAAACGTGGGTATGCAATAAAATCAGTTTGCTGTGTGTTCTTTTAGAGAACTGTATGAGATCAAACTGACGGCAACTTTGGGGGGCCAAATCTGAACCCTGCTCTATCTTGAGCCAATTTCCTTGTCTTTAACACACTGACCCCCCATTACCCCAGTCATTAAGTTAATTCATCTCATCTGAGGTCTTCCTCAATGCTTTCCTTCCACTCTGCCAAGCATGACATCCCTCTCCAAGGACTGGTCCCTCCTGGCAACATGCCTTAAGTATATCAGACGGTTCTTCAAAATCCTTGCCTCCACGACGCAGCCTGTTTCTCCATCTCCGGGGTGGACCTGTTCATTCTCTTTTCAATCCATAGTATATTAAGTACTCTTCTCCAGCACCACAACTCAAAGGCATCAATTTTTCTTCTGCCATCCTGAGTCATTGTCCAGCTCTCTGATGCATAGCAAATGATGGTGAAGTCATGGCCTGGGTCAGGCACACCTTAGTCTCTAAACTGACATCATTGCTCTTTAGTCCTCTGGAGAGGTCCCTGACAGCACGTTTTCCCAGTGCAATTTGTCTTTTGATTTCCTGACCGCTGATACCAAGAGTGTTGCTTGTGGAGCCAAGCAAGGTGAAATTGTTAAGCAATCTCAGCCTCTTCTCCATCTGTCCTGAAGGTGGAGGGTCAGCGAAAGAAGGAAAGGCTGCACCCCCACTCCCCAGCCAGATGGATTGACACAGCGACTAAAGCGATGGATGCAGCTGTGTCAGAGATGATGAGGGCAGCAGAGGACATAGGTCAGGGTTCAGATCCTTCGGTCACAGGGTCACTGTGCTTCCTGTTTGACAGCAGCTAACAAGGACAGCATGCACCCACACACACCCTCATGGCCGTCAGGTCAGGACCAACACATAGCAGACCCGCCAGTGGGTTTCTCAGGCTGTAACTCTCACGGATGGAGTTTGCTCATCTTTCTCCTATGGATTCAATCTGCCAGAGAGGTGCGGCCATTGGCTGAACAGTGCACCTTCCTACAGAGCTTCCCTGTGTGTGCAAGTGTGTGTGTATAGTTCTAGTATGTTGCTGATGATTGCCTTCGAGTGGAGCACGCCTCAGCGACCCTATGAACAAAAGGCCTGCAGCCCCCCTACAGCCATCAACATTTACCACAGTTCCTAGAGTCTCCAGAGGCAAGTTATTTCGTTATTTAGGAAGTGGATGCCACTCCTGCTTCATAGTAATCAGAAAGTCAAGGCGCATGTAAGCTGCACGTCATTCTCAGTTGAATGCTCACCTCAGCAGCGTGTGGACTAGACTCAGTTGAAAGGAGAGTTAATGAGCTGGATGACAGATCAAGAGAAGTTACTGGGGAGAGAGGAGTGTAATAGACGCTACAAAAGAGAGAGTGACAAGCAGAGGAATGAGCTGAAAGGAAGGAATCCTTTGCTTGGATTTTAGATGCGGAATCAGCACATTTGGGCTGTGAGGGCTGAGGGCTTGAGGGGGGTGGTGTGTAGCCTCCGAGTTTCTGGTTCGGTGCCTGGAAAGCCCCCGACCCCGCAACTACCATCTGCTTCTATTGTGCCTTTTTCTAGGCTTGAAGAGAAGTCCGAGCTCCAGTTCTGAAGCCTCTTGCAAAAAAGTGAAGTGGTCCAGCACGGTCACCTCCCCGCCATCGTTGCTCTCAGATGAGGACAGCTCAGAGTCTGAAGAGCTCTTGAGTCCCTCTCATGGCTCCAGAGGTACGAATCGGGGGGTCCTACAGATAAGAAAGAGGCTGCCACACCCCAGATCAAATATTTTTTTTCTATAATTATATTTTATTAATTTTCATAAACATTTACAGAGATTTTGGGCTTCCACTCATTCATTGTTGCACTATTCTCTCTACCCTCCTCCCAGTTTGTTCTTGTCCAAATGCCACAGTGCTTGTCAAAGCCAGTTCTGATTAATCTTCTTTGTCAGTGTGTCCTTTGCCATTCCCTATCACTCCTCCCTGAGAGAGACTTCACCCTGAGTCATAAGGAAAAGGGGATGGCGTATTCTCTTAGCTACTTCCTGCTGAAAAGGGACGCTGTGGGTTTCAGGGTGAAGATCTTCTCTCACTACTCTAAAGGGCCCCTTTGGCAGTAGGAAAACACATAGACTATTATGGAGATTGATTTTGGAATTTAGATGCACTCTTATTGATTGTGCTTGGCCGTACATGTTCATATCCTTGAAGATGTATCATGGGGGTGTTGCAACCTAGAAGACACAAATTTGACTAACAAGTTATAAGTACATGAGTCCAAAAATTATGGAAAAGTAAAAGAAAAGATTCTTTCATTGTTTTACAAACCCTCCCCCAGGTCCCCTCCACCATGTAGCCCTCGCTCTAGTCTCCTGTGATGACAGAAATACCCAGTTATACCCAGATCAAATATTACCCACACTTGGTTCTACCCTCAGCCTGCCCCCCGCCCCCCAGCCTCTGGTCTGCCCTCTGCACTCTGTCTCCTCAGGCTTGGCCTCCCAGCCTCTGGTCTGCCCTGCCCACTGTGTCCCCTCAGGCCTGGCCGCCCAGTCTCCCGTATGCCCTCTGCACTGTGTCCCCTTAGGCCTGGACCCCCAACTTCCAGTCTGCCCTCTCCACTGTGTCCCCTCACACCTGGCCCCCAGCCTCCGGTCTGTCCTCTCCACTGTCCCCTCAGGCCTCCCCACTGTTCTCATCACTCCACAGTCCGCGATCTTCCGCCCACCACCTGTCACCCTCACCGCTTTAACCTTCAGCACAACCCCGTCCACAGAACCCCTGTGGCTTAAGTATACTTTTGGGAGCTTCGGCTTCTGGTCTTGAGGATTGCTACTCTCTGTGCCCAGGACATTGCCCTCTCTGTTCTTCATCCCCACTTTTGCCAATTAACCAATCTCCGGGCATCTTTGCGGAGAGCTGTGAGCCCCCTTGTTGGGGCCTTTGAGCCTTTGCCCTTGCTCTTCCCCGTCCAGGTAGAACTTCCCTGCACCTGTCTCCCTCATTTCCCGCAGGTCTTTATTCTGTTGTTAGCTCCTCAGGGAGGCTCCCCCAACTACAAGTGTATCTCCGTGACCTACACACAGCGTTCCCTGTCTGTGGTCCGGTTCTACAGAAGCAGAACCAGTAACATATACAAGTGTCTGTGTGTATTTACCTGTGTGTGCATTAATTTGGCTGGGCCGTGAATTTCTGTGGTTCGGTAATAATAATATTATAAGGTGAAATTGTTGACAACTTCAGTCTTTTTTCATCTAGTAGGTTGCTGTCGGTCCATTGGTGAAGATTTTTGTTTTCTTGATGTTGAGATACACATCTTTAAGGCTGTAGTTCTTGACTTTCTGCATCATTTTTTTCAAATCTTCCTCACTTGGAGCAAGCAGAGTTGTGTCCTCTGCATAATGCAGATTGTTGATAAGTCTTCCTGGGATCCTGATGCTACATTCTGCTTAACAGAGTTTGCCTTCTTCAAGAACTTGCTTGACATAGAGACTGATTAGATGTGAGGAAAAGACAGAGCCCCCCGTTTGTGGTTTGTTTTTTTAAAATTTTAAACCATGCAGTGTTCCTGTGCTCTGTTCGGATAACTTCATGTTCCAAGTATAGGTTTTGCATGAGCATAGTTATGTGTTCTGGGATTCCTGGGTTGTGTATCTGTGAAGACAAGACTTGATAATCTACTTCTGATAAGATTAAACTGACTGCCAGTGAGTTGATTCTGACTAATGTCAACCCATGGGCACCCATGGTGGACAGTGTTGGCTGGAGCTTCCCGACTAAATCAAGCCTGGAAGCAGGAGCGGCATCCACTTCCGAAATGACTTGTCTCCGGAAACTCTATGTACGAACAGTGCTCAGGCCGTTCGCTCATAGGGTCGCTATGAGTCGCCTACGACTCGACGGCATCAAACAACAACAACGACAACAATAATTTTATATATCCATGTGTTTGTTGCATGTAAAAAATGAATTTATGTTTTACATGTAAGGGAGAGGGAAAAGGATGCTCGCAGGAGCACGAGTGAACAGCACTAGTGTGGTGTGCTTCACGTTGGGCTGCTAAAGGAAGGGTCATTGGTTCGAATCCACCAGCTGCTCTGAGGGAAAAAGACGGGCAGTCACTTCCCTAAAGTTGAACCTCAGAGACCCAACAGAGGGTCACTATGGGTTGGAATCTCCAGTGCGGCCCTGCGTTTGGTTTATCTGTGTGTATGTCTGCGTGCACTCATGTGCGTCTGACAGCCATGAAAACAAAGCTCGTCCTGTCAAGTCGGGGCCAAGCCACAGCCGGCCCTGGAGGACGGAGCTGAGCTGACCCATTGGTGTCTAAGGCTGTAAATCTGCCTGGAAGCCGACGGCCACCTCTTTGTCCCTCAGAACAGCTGGTGGGTTGATCTGCCACCCTGTTGATGTGAGTCTGAGTCAGATCAAGATCTGCAGGAAGTGAGGGAGGCATTGCGGGTAGTCTTAACTGTTGCTGACCGAGAGTAAAGTATTTTTATAATTCTTAATAATGAGACAGACAGCCAGGAATGAGATAAAACAGAGAGCATGAAAAACAGGGGGCCAGCATTTCTCCACTGAAGGCCCCAAGCCATACTTCTCTGTATATTTATTGAGAATCACAAGGAAGGTAAACAAAGGAAAATCACAAGGGAGTGGAAAACAGAAAGGATCATGGGGAAGTCTTGGAGAAGGTTAAATTCCTCTGTACTGTTTACTTTATACTTATCTTAGGAGAGAAGGATTCAGTAAACACAAACTAAGGACAATGTTGATTTTTAAGGAATGCCGTAGTGCTGCAGGGTGAATTCTAACTTGTATTACGCCTCTCTTATATCCTGATACAGCATTTGGTTTATTATTAATATTAAATTTGATATTCGGCTTCCCACACTTAACCACTGCACCCCTGCAAATAAAGATGTGCAGGAAGTGAGGGAGACAGATGCAGGGAGTCTTAACCACTGCACCACCAGGCCCCTTCCCCCTTAGACATGTCACACAGTTGATTCCTGCGTAGCTACTACATCCACAGCGATGAAACACCACGGGGGCTTGTCCCAGCCCTGTGATCATGGCTGTGAGTCCTGCCGCAGCCACATGTCAGGTCGCTGTGGAGAGACTTCCTTTTTTATTGAGCACGAAGTCTTCTCCCAGGGCCTGGTCCCTCCTGACAGCATGTCCAGATAGGTGGGCAGAGTCTCATCGTCCTCGCCTCTGAGGAACATTCTGGCTGGCCCTGCCTCTGGCAGCTCGCACGATGCCCTGTTTCCTTTACCAGCAACACGATTGAAGACATCAGTTCGGTTTTGGTCTTCTTTTAAGAGTACAACCAGGAGAACTTGCAGGAGTCCCCATACATCTTAAGGTCCACTTGATAGCACCCAGCAGTGACCACCACCTTGGCACAGGGCCCAGTGCTGAGCACAGACCAGAAACCATAAATGTTCCCGAGCAGCTGAATGGATGCCTGGCATCGGGCCTGGGCTGCCGCTGTGCCCACCACCCTCACGTAAACCTGTGTCTCCCTCTAGGCTCCACGTCCCTCTCTGCCTCAGTTTCCCGACTAGGAGTCTGTCGTGGCCGCGGACAAGGTACGACCCACCTGTATGTGCCCTCTGCCCAGCCAGTGCCCGGGGCGCTGGGTGCGGGGGAGTTCAAGAATGTGAGCAGCCGTCTCCCTCCCTCCCCGAAGTCACAGTCCTTGGTGACAGCTGTGTCCTGCTGTTTCCCATGGGTCCCTGAGGCCACCTCCCACTTTGTGTCTGGAGTGGGTCCGCGTCCTCACCAGTCACCACCCTGGGAGCCCTTCAAGGCCAGAACCTTGGGTAATGAATTCTGGACCCTCAGCAGACCCACCTGCAGTGGTGCAGTGGGCTGAACATGGGGCTGTTAATCCAAAGGTTGGGGTTTGAATCCCTCAGTGTCTTTGAGGGAGAAAAAAGGCAGTTAATTTTGTAGATTCACGGCCTTAGGACAGTGTCTTGGTCACCTTGGTCTCTAGGCGTCAGAACCGACCTGTGGGCTTGCGTTTTGGGTGTCACATTGGGCACAGGGCCGGTCCCCCAGGTGGACGCTGGCTTTTGTTTGTTTGTTTGTTTACTGGAGCAGAAAAGTAAACCCAGACAAACTTCCTTGCACCGCACTGCACTCATTCCACTGGACAGCTTGCCCAGTGTCTTGCAGATCAGAATGTCCACACCGCCTGCCTTCCAGCCAGTCTGGTGGGGCTGTTTTTCCAGAAGCAAGAACTCCCCTCAAGTCTTCTGTGTCTGATTTTGGCAGTTTTTAAAAATTTTCAGATCTTTTCCTAATGCTGCAGTACCTGGTTCCCGAGGCGCCCCGCCTCTCCCTGAGGCCCCCATCCCCTCTCCCCACGGCCCCCCCACCCCCACCTCTCCCCGAGAGCGCCCCCACCTCTCCCTGAGGCCCCTTGGTGGGTCTCTTCCGAGGTTCAGTGCGTGGGTTTGTCAAGTGAACCCATGAATGAGTGGTCATCCAAGCTCTGGGCCACCCCTTCCGACTCCATTTTCCTATCTGCTTTTTCTTTATCAGACCAACCCCCCACGGGATTCTGCAACAAGCCCCCGACCTCCAAAAGCAGCCCCCAGTCAGCCCGGCAAAGCTCCCAGACCCTGAAGCGGAGCCGGGTGACCACCTCACTGGAGGCCCTGCCCGAGGGGACGGTGCTGGTGGACAAGAGCAGACAGTGCTGGAAGCTGGGGTCCCTCCAGACCAGGGATGACCAGGGCATTCTCTATGAAGGTACGCTTTCTCCCCAGGCCCCTTCCCGGACACTCGTGGCCAGGGCCCCGGACACCCTGCACGTGTAACCCAGCTCACCGTGTCCACTTCTCTCTGGAGATTACCAGGCCTTTATATCCACGCTCATTTCCTAGGAAGTTGAAATCCCGGGGCTCCCAGGGCCCTGGATGGGATAAACCTCTGTGACTACACCCGTTTTTGAAAAATTGTGGTTTAGATGAAAATTTACACAGCAAGTGGTTTTCACTCCATCATTCCTGCACATTCTGTTTTCTAACGTTCATTCTGTGACCCACAGCGTTAGCACACTCTTCCTCCTTCCTCACTGTGGTTCTCCTGTCCTTTAATCTTGGGATATGCCGATTCATTTCTATAGATCGCCAGGCCTTTCTTCCTAGTCTTCCTGGGGCACCATAGACACTTGCCTTCCTCAGAGATTTGAGTCTGAGAGTCCCAGCTGCCCTGTAGGTGTTAGCATTGCCCTCTATAGAAGTGGGTATAGAGACCCCCATTCCTTTCTTCCTGGTCTCCCTGGGACTCTGTAACCACTCCTCTTCCCAGGGAAGCTGGTGGAGGAAGCCCCTGGCTGTCCTGCCCGTAGTAACTTCACTGCCTCTGTTCTTCCCCAGTTGAGCCCATCTCCACCCCTCCCTCTGCCTTCACCTGCCAGTCAGGTTCCCAGAAACAAAGATTCTCTCTGAAGCTGGTGAGTGGGTCTCCTGGGGAGGCTGGGGAGGGGATTGGACAGCACAAGGTCTGGGGCTTTGGCACACATGGCCTCCCCCTCTGCCCCGACGTGAGGGCTGGGGCAGGTGGGCGGGCACAGGACGGGGCCCCTCTTGGCCGACCACATGGCTGAAATCCAGACGGGAGGCTTGTCTCGTCAGTTCTGAGGCGTTGCCGTGAGTGCCAGTGGCTGCCTTGAACAAGCAGAAATCGGTTGCCTCTTGATATAGGGGGCAGTTGTGTGTCATTGAGTTACAGTTGGCCCCTAGCCGGCCCTCCGGCGGGTTTTCAGAGGCTGTGAGTCACACGGGAGGAGACTGCCCATTTTTCTCTCACTGAGTCGCTGGTGGAATCGAACCACATGCCTTTGGGTTGGCAGCTGAACTCTTTACCCACTAGGCCAGCAGAACTCGCTTAGGAAGCTAGAAGTTCAAGTTCAAGCTGCCAGGCGTTTGATTCTGACGTGTTCACCCTGGGGTGGCCGCTGGTGTTGTCTTGTGGAGTGGGCTGTGGACGGTGAACCCTGGGGGCCACTCATCTATATGAGAGGCCAGTGTGACCCTCTTCTCTCCCACCTGTCCCCACCAGGACGCCAAGGACGGACGTTTGTTCAATGAGCAGAACTTTTTCCAGCGAGCCGCCAAGCCTCTGCAGGGTACTGTGTGGGTGTGGGTGTGTCTGGGGGGTGTCGGGGTGTAGTGGGCTGGGACCGGCTTAGAAGGGACAAGCTCCTCCCTCTCTGTGCTTGTGAGAGGAGGCGCGGGGCTGGGAAGCCTCGGTTTGCATCCCTCTGTGCCCGCAGTTGGCCCTGTGTCCCTGGACAGTCAGTGATTCCTACGCATTTTTTTTATGTTAATTATGGTAACTGTGGCCCCCACCAGGGAGCAGCCCTCTTCTGGCTTCTCCCCCTTATCCGTTTACCTGCTTTCCTAGCCTTTCTTTCTGGCCTTCTGCCCTTTGCTGTCGTTGTGTGACGTTGTGTGTGTTGTTGTGAGTCAGAACCAACTCACAGCTGACCCTCCAGTGGGTTTTCGGAGGCTGTGAATAATGAGGAAGGAGATTGCCCATCTTTCTCCCTCATTGCAGCTGGTGGATTTGAACCACCTCCCTGTGGGCTGGCAGGACAGCTCCTTACCCCCTTGGCCCCGAGAGCTGTGCTAACATCAGTTGTCTTATAACCATCAGGAATCTCTGCTTTCTCTATCTGTATCTGTTTCCTCAAAATGGGATTGCGCCACAGTGTTTGCATTAACTCTCGCGCCACCAGAACCACTCCCACTGCGCTTGGCTCGGTTCTGACTCCAGCCAGCACATCAGGCCCCTGAGACTGCAGGTTCTGCCCCTGCCCGGCCTTCTCCCGTGGAGCCGCTATTGTGTTCGAACCCCTGACCTTCTGGCTAGCAGCACACACACACACAGAGACACACAGACACAGAGAGAGAGAGAGAGACACACACACACACACACACACACCCCACCCGTGTGGCCCCAGGGCTTCTTTTCCATACAGTGGAAATCCTCCGTCGGAGTGCGCTCCGTGCGTCTCCCGGACTCCACTGTGATGTTGAATTGGCAGCTCAGAATTGGCCACGAGGGCTGGGTCTTTGGAACTCCTCCTGTTGGGCCTTGACCTTGACTGCTGTCCTGAAGAACAGAGATGTCACTTTGAAGACCAGGGTGCACCTCACCTGAGCCACGGTCTTTCAGTCACATCATTTGCATATGAAAGTTGGACAGTGAGTAAGAAGGAAGACTGAGAGAGATTGGCGCCTTTGAGGTGTGCCGTTGGTGAGGTGTGTCGAGTATCCCCAAAGAACTCGTGTACCCTGCTTGACAGGACAGCTGAGTGGTCCTTAGAAGTGACAGAGGTGACAGAGGTGAGGGTTAATCACGTGCTCTGGCCATCTTAGCCGGACCGGCCAGTCTGTGCAGAAGGACCGACTGGACTGTGTCACTGTGCTTAAAGCACTTGGCTGCTGATCTAAGAGGTGACGGTTCAAACCGACCAGCCAATTCAGGATAAAGTTGAGGCTGTTGCTCTTGTAAAGATTTCCTGCCTCGGACACCCCAGGGGATTGTCCCTCAGGCTCTGTCCCTCAGGGTCACGAGAGCCGAAATCCGAGCACTGGCAGCAGGCTTGGTGTTTTGTTCTCAATCTGTCCTGACGGGTGCCCAGGGCTGTGATTTTTACCAAAGGACGTCGTTGTCATTCAGTGGTTAAAATACGCTGCTGCTAATCAGAAGGTCAGCAGTTCAAACCCACCCTGGGCCACATGAGAGGAAGATGCCATGGTCTATTAATAAAAACTGTAGGCCCCAGAATTCTCTGACTTGTAGGGTCGCTTTGCATTGGAATTGACACAATGACAGTGGTTTTGCTGTTTGGGTTTTTTTCCCCCCTCTGGTGTCACCCATGTTCTTCTTAGTCACCCACAGAGAGGGGTGAGAAGACAGTGCAGGGGAGATCCATCCCCATCCCCACCCCCAGCCACTGTCAGCTGCCCACAGAGGCCATCTCCCTGCCCACAGAGGCCGTCTCCCTGCCCACAGAGACCGTCTCCCTGCCCACAGAGGCTGTCTCCCTGCCCACAGAGACCGTCACCCTGCCCACAGAGACCGTTTCCCCCAGGGACACTCGGGTCGGGTCCGGGGTTGGGCAGTCTCCTCCCAGTTCTCGAGCCCCCGGGCCGGGGAGCTCCAACATCCAGCCCCCCTGCCTTTGCAGTGAACAAGTGGAAGAAACTGTACTCCATCCCACTCCTGGCCATTCCCACCTGTGTCGGCTTTGGCATCCACCAGGACAAGTACAGGTGAGTGTCCCCGTCACCACCCACCTCTCCGTCCCCAGTCCTTCGTCCCCTGTCCTGTTCCCCCGCAGAGACACTGGGCAGGTGGGTTCTTGCTTTCTGCTCCCCAGTTTTGAGCAGGTGGGGACCCCGCTCTCATAGCTCCGTCCGTAGTGTGCGGTGACAAAATACCACCAGTGCGTAGCTTTCACCAAAAAAAAAAAATAATCCATTTTCTCCCAGTTGGTTATTGTTTGAGGCCAGTTCAGACTCAGCAGCTCCCAGCCCGACAGATGTGACACCACTCGGTCCTGCGTCTTCCACGGTCACTGCTCTGCCCGCGTCCCCCCCACGGTCACTGCTCTGCC